ACGCAAGTGCGCCAGTTCCTCGGTACCATAAATTATTGTTGCATGTCCGTGGGACCGGACTATGCAGACGTTGCCTGGCCGCTGGTTGATCTAACGCGTAAAGACGTCAGTTTCGAATGGACAGAGCTTCACACGCAAGCGGTGCGGCAGCTCAAACAGCGCTTAATAGACTTCAGGTCCCCGACACGACGAAGCTCTTCGAGTTATACACCTCTGGTTACGCAGTCGGAGCAGTTCTTGAACAGGACGGTAAACCCTTCGGCTTCCTCAGTCAAGTCATGAAGCCCACGCAACAGAGATACTCGATCTACGATCAGGAACTCTTGGCGTTGGCCACGGCGCTGGACAAGTGGTCGCACTTGCTCCGTGTCTCCAAGGTGACGGTTTTCACTGATCATCAAGCTCTAACCCATCTCCAACGACTCCAAGCATCGAAGCCTCTGCGCGGACGCACCGCCCGGTGGCCGCACTTCCTTGCAGAATTCCCGGATTTGCACATTACGTATGTTCAGGGAGCGCGCAATCAAGTTGCCGATGCCTTGTCTCGCCGTCCCGGCCTCTCTAACACCTGCTCGCACGACACACCATCGGCACCGCTGATGCTCGCAACAGAAGAAGCGAGCGCGGCTTCCCGCTCTCGCGGTCCGCCTCCTAACTATCGCGAGCTCGCCGGAATTCGCCCGCGCCGCCCTCGACGACACCGCACGCAGTCTGCGCCTTCCCCTGCGCCGCAGGAACCCGACCCAGAGCCGGAACCCCCTACACTTACAACGAAGGCACCCGCTGGTCCCCCTGACGCGCGCCATTGGCCGCAAGCGTACTCGAAGTGCCCTGTTTTTCGAGTTCCCTACAAAGCCGCAGCGAACCAACCAGGAGAAGCTCTGCAGATCGAGTTCTGTCACCGCCAATCTACCTTTCGCTACGTAGAGCCTTACCTGCACATCCGCGTTCATGGACTGTGGCGCATCTGCGTCCCCCAGTTCCCTGAGTTCCTTACTCACGTTCTGCATTCGCATCACGACCATGTCACAGCAGGCCATCGAGGCCAGAAAAAGACCTTTGCGGCCCTCAGCAAGCACTACTACTGGCCTGGAATGCGTGCCTATACCACCGCTTATGTTGAGTCATGCACCCACTGTCGCGCTTCAAAATCCATTAACCAGAAGCCTGCAGGCCTTCTCCAACAGTTGCTCATCCCTTCTCGTCGATGGACGCACGTGAGCCTCGATTTCATCACAGATCTTCCCCTTACAACGACAGGGCACGACTCGATCCTTGTCATGGTCGATTCCCTCAGCAAGATGGCTCATTTCGTTCCTGCAAAGAAATCTTTCACAGCAGCAGACACCGTGGAGCTCCTCGCAGACCGCCTTATCCGCTACCATGGATTTCCAGAGGCGCTTATATCGGACTGAGACCCCCGTTTCCAGTCGGATCTGTGGAATCAGCTCTGCCGCCGCTTTAACATCAAACGATGCATGTCCTCGCCCTACCATCCCCAAAGCGACGGCCAGGCTGAACGAGTGAACCGCACATTGGAGCAGATGCTTCGTACCTATATCAAATCTGACGAACGCGAATGGGAGCGTTTGCTCCCGGCCTTGGAACTTGCCTACTACACAACAAGTCATTCATCCACTGAGCTCTCTCCTTTCGAGGTCATGATCGGCGAGGACCCGTTGACGGCTGCGGACCTTGATATCGTAGGCGCGTTAGCTCCTACTCTCACTCCTCCGATGACTAAGCTTTTCGGGCAGCTCTGCTCCAGAGCACAGAGTCACATCCTGAAGGCAAAATGACAGCAGAAGTACTATGCAGATACAAAGCGCCGACCTGTCTTTCCAGTAGTGCTGATACACGGTCCATTTGCATGATCGCCCAAAGAAAAATTCCCTTTGCATGATGATTGATCCTTGTTATCACGTCAATTTACGTATTCTAGACTTTATGATTCCGAAGGCCGTATCTAGGCTGCACAGGGGCACTGCACAGTATTCTTCAGACGAGATCATACGGTGCCACGCTAAGGCGATTTAACCCTGAGATGGTTATTTTTCAGTCAAAGCTTTACATTATTGTCTCGCAAGATGCTCTGGAATCACTTGTGCTTTAGCTTTCCTTTGTAATGGGCGAAGCGCAGATTCTATCTATGTTTTTGCCTGTGATTTGCTATTGTGGCCGTCCAGTGCAGGCGCATTTCTCATAGCTGCGCCCTACCACGCTCGATCTAACAACAGAAATTGCTGCTTAGAAGAGCTGCTATGTTTAAATAGCATTAAACCAGAGCTGGATGCTCTTACCAACGCCTGGCTCCACGAGGTCCACAGAAGCTGTGCATGCTACAGGTCCGCTGCCAGTCCGACAGCAGCGTCATGCGTCATAGTGTAGTGAACAGCTGGCCTACACTGTTACTACGTATGGTACCTGGGCTAGTCTGACTAAGTGCACACTCTGCATCTACTATCTAAAATCCATGATTCTCGCCAACTACTGCTGTATACCCTAAATGGCCATATACAACTGAGTTCATATTATTGAGAGGTGAGAAAAACCCAAAATAATAGAACTGACTGTTGACCCTCGCTGAGGGTCAGTGCCTGAGTCACGGCACCAACCTCGCATCCAGCCCCATACCCGGTGCTGGCTAGCGAGCACTCTATTCCCTTTTATGATTTCCTAATATCCAATGGTGCCTTATGCCTTAAAATATTCTATATTATTCATGCCCTTTCGCGTTACTAAGCCTCGAGGGGTGGCGACGAAGGTCAATTGTAGTGCCTGGCACTACACATAGCGTGCACGTTGTAGTCAGCTTCTGCGCTGGGCCTTGCTTACATGTAGTAGAAAATTGTATCTTCGACATGCGTATGCTGTTCATTTCCTTTTCTGAGAGCACTTACTCTGCTCACCAATACAATAAATTTGATTAGCATAACAGGGACGTGCACATCGCTGCGAAGGCTTAAAGAATTTGCTACTTGCTCTTGAATACGTGAATGCAGATGCGTGTACTTATGGAGGCAGATTAAGTGCAATGAAATGAAAATAGTTCAGTGCTGCAGATGTTCAGCAGTGTGCATGATCTTGGAAAAGTTTCATGGACGCATGAAAAAAATGAAGTTTCATGAAATTGAAGCAAGCAAATTGAAAAATCATTCTATCAAACAGTTGGGCGCACTACTTGCGCAAAGTCAAACATTTAGAATTTACCGGTAAGAGTCCTAACACTACTGAACAGGTTGGACCAAGTGTACAGGCTCACGGAGGTGTACTTAGATAGCTGTAAGCCCACGTTTCGCGGCCGAGAGAGCTGTAATAAGATTTTACGCATACGCGCCATGCAAATGGAGTAGAGGTAACTCAAGCCAAGAATATCTGAAGACTCAAAAAATGAAGTAGATGAGGTGAAGAAGCATTAAACCCTGGCTTGCTTGGGCCCCAAACAATCGAAATTCTACTTCGTAGAGGAAAGCCGAAGTGCGTATTCAAAGGGGAGAAAGCGCTGAGAGAATTCAGAGATAAACCCATTTACTTCGCACCTGGCGCGTTGGCCCCACACATTGCCTTCTTACTATACACTTACATCAGTGTATAATATTGTGTCTCCATTTTGGCTGATATACCCTAATTTCCCATCCACTAGCAGTTTTGTAGCTCGTTTACTGGGTCTCCAGTTTGGTCTCTCCGTGATTTCCTCTCTAGGCACAGGCCGCCCGCGGTAATTGAGCTTAGAGAAACGTCTTACTTAAATTCGGAAGTAACTGTGAATTGTAAACGGGCTAATTGCGGCAAAATATCAACACAACATGAGTTCATACATGTTCTAGATGTCAGATGTCGCAGTTCAGTTCAGGCTGCACTTTGCCTTGCACAGAATTCAGCTGAATGAATAGTATTTCGATTCCTACCTGGGCGAAGGCGAATTAGTATGCATTTTCTTTAGGTGGGTTTTAGATTGGTGCAATCCTTTCCCAGGGTCATATAATCACAAACAGGAACCGCATTACAAGTGAATGAACTGCGCAACAGTTTTGCTAGATGTTGCATATCTGAGGATCTGCCTTCTGTGCCCCTAAGACCAGGCCTAGAAAGAAAAATGTTAAGTCGGCACACGCACGCCAACTGCGAGGCTGGAAGCGAAGGTGAGAGGTTCCGACGTGAAAACCAGCAAAGTAACCGAACACAACCGACACCAAGGGCCAGTGGCCGTGATCACGCTACCTCGACAGTCGCATCTGCCATCAACCTACTCCACTTCGGACACTGGGATCTTCCAACTATTGCTGAACCAATTCGGAGCAATAAAACTCTACAGCGCAGGAGCGCAGTCCCCAAACCAGCGATCGGCTAACCATTTCCAACGATTGCCACATCCCTGCGCTTCGATGAGCCACGTCTGCTCGGCTTTGCCCACTGATCATATTCTATGCAAATTGCAGTTAAGGTGTCTGAGCGTCTAATTTGTCCTCGACATGACAGCCGGCAAAAAGTTGCAGCTGAAAGGACAAAGGCCGCACTGCCTGCGATCCTCTGCCCGTCATTGCTGAGCATGCAAGCCAGTGGAGCACAAGGCCGCGCCCGCGGGATGTCTTGACGAATTGTAAACACACGAATGCGAAAGCACGGGAAAGGGAGAAAAGTCGCGGCAGGGGAAGGAAGATACTGCCAAGCTTCTGCATCGCTCAGTTCACCGGTGGGGAGAGCGAGCACGCGGAAATGTTTTGTCTGGTGCGCCCGCATCTAGGCAAAGTTTAGAAGCGCAGTTGGCTCTACTCTTTTACATTAGTTTTCCTGTGATTTTTATTAGAAGAACAGGCTGCGGTTTGCGGCTAGTAGATTGCTGTGCAGTCTCCCACGAATGCAAAGCTGTAGTCACGCGGAGCAGTCGATCCTCATCTCTCGACTTGCAGAGGCAATAAACAGTAGCAGACCCTTTTCCGTCACAGGCTTGCATACCAAATAAGTTTGTCTTGTCAGTGCTTGAGCTGAAGGCAACCCAGATGATTGGCCCGGCATTAACACAGGAAGTTGCTCTTCATCTGGAGTCCTCGCCACAGGATGATAGTCCGTCCTTTTCGGTTGTCATTCCTGTAAAGAGAGGTTTTAAGAAGCCACCTACGGTAGGATGTGTGCTTCCGTACCTGGCCAAGGCTGCTGCGTTACTTGCTTGCGTCTCCTTGACTTACTTGCTCCTATCTTGCGGTATTGCAATTCGTCGGGCTTCATGGAGGCCTTCACGACTACTTTCGTCTGATTTAGATGAAGCATGTGCAGGATCGGTGAGCCAGGATCAGGAAGCGTGGCAACTTCAGGTTCAGCTGTACCAGTTTTCTGCGTCCCGTATGATGGTTGTTCTCTACTTTTGTCCGCTCTCTCTTATCATTAGGAGGGAGGCAGTGACACAGAGGAAGGAGAAACTACCGCACCTCCAGCTCCGGTCATAGGTACAAACTCAGGCGAAGGGACACCAGTAAGCGCCTTTTCTCAGCCCAGCGTCTGCTGCAATTTTGTGTTGAAATACCAGATTAGAACCATGGGGCGGCTGAAAGTTAAACTGCAGGGATCAGGTCCGCCAAATTCGGCTGCTGCTCTTTTTAGTGCGTAGATGTCTTTGGAGAACTTTAGCGCATGGGAGTGGATAGCTCTCTACAGCAGTAGAGTACTACTGGATGGCCTGCACCGAGACACGCTTTAATATTCGAATAGGTGTTTGCTTCAGCAAAGTGATGAACCATTGTACATGACAATGAGGAGCCTACAACTTGGAGATTCGGGTCCTCCTGTGAGTTCCTGTGGCGCAGTCGGACAAACGCGCATTTTCGAAGTCCCGCCATGCCAGGAATGCGGAGGGGCTATTTACGTACGATACACCGATCTAAATGTTTGCATTTTGCATGTTCAGGAGCAGGAAGAGGATGTTTACGTGGAAATGGCAAGCTTCTTACCTCAGGTAGCAGGAAGTGCTCGACAAGTAAGCAAGTGCCACGCGTTGTTGCGCACTTTTAAAGTCCCGCCATGGCCAGGAATACAGTGGAGCTATTTACGTATGTTACACCTGTTTAACAGTTCGCATTTTGGATATTCAGGAGGAGGAAGAGGATATTTACGTGGATATGGGAGGTTCTGCACCTCAAGGGGGGGAAAGTTCTCAACGTTCTCAACAAGTAAGCGAGTGCCACGCGTTGTTGCTATTGTTTTGCATTAGAGCGATTACTTCATAGGAGGAGCCAACTGTGTTGTGCGTTGCTTCCCTTACCTCTACCACTGTATGCACATTACAAGTTGTGGCTATGGCGCGCACGCAGGAAGTGCCGCCTCCGTACTGTCTCTGCAAACGACTGCGTGTAGATGTCACAGGCAAATCAAGATGATGAACCGATATACGAGAATATGGATTTTTTCCGTTCGCGACTAGAAAGCTCTGGAACCCGAAGCGTAAGCGATGGCCGCGTCATATCGCGACTATCGTTTAGACTTGTTATCTGTCGCAAGTGGCCGCAGCAGCAACCATTAACACACAGTGGGAACACCATTTATGTACAGTTTTGGATGTAACACCGTGCAACCAGAGTTTCTCCCCAGTTGGCAAGTCAGTGATGGAGTTGTCGGTGTCTCTTCACGGCTTTGCATGTGTGACTGCCTGATTGGCACAGGCGTCCCGTACTAACACCAGCCCGCCGAGTGGAGTCGACCCATCTATTATAGAAACTATAACGCGAGCTACCTCGAATTGGCCGGTAGGAGACTACCGCCTAGTGTTAGCAAGTGGCGCTCCCCTTTGACGCCTCCTGCCGGTGCTGCCTGTTGTACAATATTCAGCCGAACTTTTAACGCAGTTACACTGGTTTTGAAAGAGTTTGTACCACGGAACGCGGACCCGTTGATGGAACTGAGTATCTTGGCATGGCGGATGGCACTATGCGCCAGTTGCAACGGTCGTTATTTTTAATCGCGTTTTCGGGTTGTTTGCGTGTCTCGGATCTGGTGTAGATGTTTCTCGGTACTGCAGGGGAAGAAGAACAAATGGAACACAAGGAGATTCCAACTGTTCCGTCCTCATGGCCAGTAAGCTGCTTTCACTGTTTTTTTCTTGCATGAGTGTTTCTTTGCTGCAAGGTTGAGATGGCGTCACCTTGGCACACTAGAAAGAATATATTTCTTGGCTCGTTTGTTGTCTGGCTCACAGGGTACGTTTCGAGGTGCATTGATGTTGACGGTTCTCTGTGTAATATGCCGCAGCCTGCCCAGAAGCCACCCAAGGGAAAGCGCAAACCTCCTCAGACGAACCCACGACGAGGCTTTGTTTGGGGAGTAGGTGCTTGCCATGCGTTTGGGCCTGCATTGCGTGTAACAGCTTCTCACGTAGTAGTCGGTTTACAGTGCATGCAATTGCCTGTTGATGGCACGACAATTCGCACTTCTTGTTCAAGAACTACATGAAGGTTGTATGCTGCCGAGTGCGCAGTTGGAGTAGAGGATTGCTCGTGCGGCGTCAGGCACTTGGGTTTTCATGGCAATTAGTTAAGGAGTTTGCTTTTTCTTGAGAAAGCCAACCCAATCATGTAATTGTCTCGGCTTGCTTTGAGCAATGCTTTTTTTGTGTCGCAGGCTGATTTGAAGCGCGAGAGCCCGTATATGGACTTCTCCGAAGTTGCTGAAGTGATGGTAAGTCTGACATAATTAGAGAGGATGACGACGAGTAGTTAGCCTTGACAGAAGTGGAGGGCAGTGTTTTTCTTTGCCGTAGTAGATAGGCTTTGCTTCTAGGGATCTTGTTTGCAGTGTTCATGAGTGTGCAATTAATCATCCACGCATAAACGGATAGGATTGACGTTTTTGGTGAGGCCTGCATGGCAAGAAATTTCGGCTACGACACACTGACTTTACAGCGACCTGAGCTTTTGTGTAGGTGTGTCTTCCGCTACGGATGCAATTTGCACTTTTCGTGGTTGAGACTTTTTCAGGAGAAAAACAGACATGGTGGTGCATCAAGCTGGCGAGAAGCGTCGAGAGCACGAGAGCAACAGCGTTTCAGAGCAGCGGGTCTCGTAAAGCCGGACGAAGTTTTGGTACAGGTAACTGGTCACGCAAATAGCTGCGCTTGCTGCTAGAGAGAGCAGGTGAAGAGAGAGCCTCATGCAAGTCTGATCAGCGGGCGAAGCGTACTGAAGTAGACCTAGGGGTTATCGTTAGATGTGCACAACATTGAAAATTTTCATTGAAGGAACATTTGGGAAAGCCTCTGGCCACTTTTTTGTCCTTTCATGCCATGGCCGGATGTGTAGGGGGCCACTACTCTAGGAAACCCGTGCATGACGAGCTCAAGCGTATTGGAGACAGTTTTTCTGCATTTTGTGGCAACTGACTTTTATATTCATATATTGCAATCTTAAGTGGAGAAAGGTACCTGTGGCATATAGGCTTGTGGCTGCAGCGGAGAGACAGTATTGGCTTGCATGCGTCCCCCCAATTCAGCGCTGTAATATGCGTTTATCACAGGTGCAACGGGAGGGTGGAAGTGGTTCACTGCCGTCAGAAGGCGCCTTATTCGCTGAAGTGGACTTAGATGCTTCAAGAGTAGGTTTTTACGAGATTGTTTCTGCCTTTGCTTTTCCGACGAGTTTGCGTCGTAGCCTTATGTAAAGGTAGCTTGCAGCCGAGGCGCAGAGTCTAGACATTCATAACAGTGACTCTGATGTCGACGTGAGATGTGCGCCATCTGGCTGCAATAAAAAGAAGTTACACCGACTGCATATAGGCAATCCCGCAGAGCGTGGAGATGCCGGGTTTACTTGTATTAGCTTATGTCTGGGCAGAGCGAGCAAACACAGCTATGAGGGCGCGATTTTGGTTTCCCGCTTCTGCGAACTTTTTTTCCCTCAGGATAGGACTGGGAGTGGAAGCAGTACTCGTTCAAGCGCGGGTTGGGATACTTTATCAGGTGGACTTCAATTCACTCCGTTGGGGGTTTTCGGAAGCTCATTCTCAGTGAGTATTGGAGCTGGAAGACTAGAGTTTGCTGTCCTCTGAGCTGTCCACGCTCAGCTACTCTTTGCAACCGATCTGTATATTTATAAGTGGAAGACAAAGGGCCGTAGGAAGGCAGGCAGCCCCAGAGACGCAGAATTTGCCCTTTTCTTTTATTGGAGATGCACTGGGAGCCGCGTTTTTCAGGCTACTTTCGGTGTCCCTTTCTGCTATTTAGTGTGCTGCTTTGATGAGTTGGGAAGCTGCTAGCTTTACTAGACGCATATTTCATCAGTTGCTCCCTGTTTCGCACATGTTTCTTCTTCCCATGCAAATTCTTCGTCAATGGCGGATTTGCGAATGTGCAAACAAGCTTAGCGTTGCAGCATGAAATGATAAAAATAAGCCAGGGTCCCATTTTCTGATTTTAGGTCATTATTACATCGCTTCTAGAAATGTATAAAATCGCTGCCGTGGTTGCGAAAATCAACGATAGAAACAGGATTACGGGATTACTTTATGCTGCTTTCTTAAATTTGCGCGTAGGGCGTAATTGCAGCAGAAAACTCACGAATGCATGTTTTTAGAACAAATACGTGCGGCCAGAAAGCTCCTGGTATGCATCTTTCCTGAGCATAGCGAGCATTATCGATTTCTGTATCATGCGTTGAAGGTTCAAAGCTCTAACAGCAGTTCGACGTCGTTGGGTAGCAGCCCTCACGCAAGCAGCAGCATTTGGCAGGTAGGCGCTCTCACGCGTTCTGAATATGCGGTCTCTAGCTCGCTATCCCGCTTCAGGTCCTTCAGGGCACGTGCGTGGCACTTGATTCAAACAGCTCTTTGATGTGTAACGCGCGTTGCACAGAGAAGTGGTACGACGTCGTGCAAATGTCGCGTTGTGTGTGCAGACCCTAGGTTCACACAGGTAATGATGAGTTGAGTTGCATATTTGTGGGGCTGCAGTTTGCTTTTGTCTTGCGCAATCTTATATGTGTGTCAGGAACGGCTATTTAGCAGTCCTCAAAGTACGCCTTGGGGAAGCATCGCCACAGTTGTAAGCGCATGCAGTGTTTGAATTGAATTCAGGTTGTCTATGCGGCGTGTCTTGCCTGGAAAGTCCATGGCACTGATTCGTACTTGGCTGTTCTCCCGGCATTTCCGCTTTTGTGTGTATCCTACTTTGCATGCGGTCTTACCATGATCATGCTAGATTCCTGGGAGTCCATGACCGCACTGTCAAGCAGTGAACTCTGAATAGTCTGGAAGCATGGTATTTTGGATTGAGCTAAATGCCGACGCTGTTGTGCGATTGCGTGTGGCAAACCATGCAGTCGTCTGATAATGGAAGGACACCACGGGTGAGGTTAATCCGCTGAAGAACATTACATACGTTTCCCCCACACTTCCGTGGACCTGATGGTTACAGTTGCACATTAAGTGGCCAGCTACATCGGCGGGAGCAAAAGCCAATGCCGTTGTTTCCGTTGCGGGTTTCAAAGAGCTGCGATACGGGAGCTTCAGGCTATCATTATAACTTTCCAAATCTCCCCACGGATATTCTTTCATGAAATCGGACCTGTCAAATGTTGCCTGCAGAGTCGGCGGCGGTTATTTTCCGGAAGACGCCGGACTCTCAGTGAGGGATCGTCGGACGCTTTCCAGAGAGGGCAGAGGAGTCCTTCATTGTCCCGAACACAATCAAGAAGCGAGGTGCAGATTCTTGCGACATAATCATACCAGGATATGACCAGGGCATCTGCCTCTCACCATAAAATGTTATGAAGACTGTTTGTGCTTTTGTGCCTGTACAGCGACAGGCGAGGACGGGACTCAGCCGGCTACTTGGGTCATTTAGAAGCGTAAGTGGAAGCGTTGGCATTTTAAGTAGACCCATTTTCATCGATAAGCTAGCTTACGGATTAAGCGCGTTCTCCAGGATTATTTCATGCGACCTTGTGTGCTCTTCGTTAGTTTCGTGGCATGAGGTCGGGCTCTTCTGCGAGCAGCAGCACCGAATCTATCAAGAGTTCGCCAAAAAAGCAGGTAGGAGGGCTGACCTGCTGAAGAGGTTGTTGCAGCAGCGTTAATGTGGATCATGTAGGAGGAAGCCTCCTGTTTAGTGTAGTTGGAATATAACGGAATTCGCAAGACGAAATGCAGAGTAGCACTTTTTGTTCGACGATTAGATTTCGCTATGGCGATTTTGGCATTTTTTTTTGAAATGTGTATCCCCACAGGCAAAGTAAATACTAGGCGAGCGGCTGCGTCAAAAGCTTCTGCAGTTCGCTGCACCTGTTGTGTTTGAAGACAGTGCTTAAGGATGTCGAAATATGGAAAAGTTGGACTGAAAAGACGTATGTTTGGAAGTGATGCTTGGCGAAATAGTGATGGAGGCCTCCCAGGAACAGTATCGTGCATCTTGATTCCGCCTCAGTTTGACCATTTGTTCGCGCTCGTGCGAAAATTGCGCTGGCCGCGGACGGCTCGGGACTCTTTGAAGCCGCGCATGGAAGACGACGCGTAGAAAAGTCATTGAGAATTCTTGTTGTTATCACAAATTGCAGTGGCAGCTGCAAGCCCTGGCTGAGAAGTTTCTGACACCGTGGGTTGTGCTGCTTGCTGTCAGAAAGCAACGCCCAAGAGGCTGGCAGCTTCACAGATTGTGGGAAAACCAGCTGAGTCTAGTTCATGTTAATTTTAAGCTGTTGACGGGTAGGTGCCTGATTTTGTCGGTGACTGAGCTGATTTCGCCGCGGGTGGGATGTATTCGCCGCATTTTTGTGTTCCCATTCTTCGTAGCGGCGAGCTGGTTCCGCACGGCGGTTGCAGGCAGTGTGGCCTGTAGCAGGCTTTTTTCCGAGCCGTCATGTTGCAAAAATTTGCAGCCCATTTTTATTTACAAGAAATCAAGACACATAGTGACGTGGACAGTAGCGGAGCTGCTCAGTCTACTTCACCCAGTTGGTTATTCCCGTTCTGTGGCCGTTGCATCTACACACACCGCGCTAAAGGCACACTCCTTCGCTGTTTCATTTCATGCAAGATATTCTAGAGGGCCATGCGAGCTGAGTTGCTCTCACGCAAAGATAGAGCTCGCTAGTCACAGAAATGGGGAATGAGGCATGAATGCCTCCTTTATGCCTCCGGAGAAGTAGCACGTGAATGGTGATTTAACTAATGGTAATTCACGCTAATTTGCAAATAGTTAGCGTCAGAGCACAAATTCCGGTGGCACAGAATTTACTGCGTATGGAGAGAAGCTCCATACGACTGGATCTAGAGTAGTGAACCCCAGAGCGATGCCCAGGAGGGGTGAGCTCGCACCGATTTCGCTTGGACGCAGTAGTACGGTGGAGAAGGCACATCAGTCCTACAGGAGACTTGCAAAAGGACAGCTGATGACGCCGGAGCTGACGAAGCGAAAGTTGCGATGCAGCTTCTCCCAAGTGCAACTACACGAGATTTCTAACCTAGCTTGCTGCGTGCCACACTTGAAGAACCGTTCAATCTTTTGCTTCTACCCAGCTGCACGGTTTCCCACGTTCATTTTGCTATTTGTTTGCTCTCTTGCCATCTGCGTACCACTGGGACCATAGAGATCTTTTAAGTAGATTTCCCGTCTCCTGCCATGCATTCTAATGCGATTACGCACGCAGCACCGTGGATCAAATTTGAACAAAATTGGCACACCACGCAGTTGGCGCTGTGCGTACCGTGCAAAGCTTCCCTTCTCGACATTCCTACATGCCGTAATAGTGTGCGAGTTCCGGAGAGACCTTTGTCATCTGGCGGAATAGCTGCGCTGCAGCATCTGTCTCGCCCTTCTCTGCAAGTAGCTGTGCCTCCTGCCACAAAGCGAACGCCCGCTTGTCGGCTGGAGTTGTAAACAGCAATTCCTACAGGAATGAATCATGCACATCACTAACAACAATCATTTACCCACAAAGATGTGGAGCAGTCACAGGGTCGCTTAGAAGGGGGAATGCCAAACAAGGCATGTGGGAGCAATTCAATTTCTTAGACAATCTGCTTTGCGAGCTATCGCTACTCACCTTGCGCCTGTACATGATGTCAGTCCGGATGATATACTTCATGCTTCCATTCCCCACCGGCCTGCCCTCATGCATCTGCAAGGTAGAGAGCGGCAATACAAGAGAGACAGCGTTCCCGCATTAGCCCAAGAGGTTGTGGTAGTGAATGAGGTTGCCTGGGCTGGTGATAGTGAATGAGCTTGCCTGAGCTTGATAAAAGAGCAAGGCATTTCCCACTTCCGCCTTGCAGCTGTAAATCACGCATTCAGGGTCAGCTGTGAACCTGTTGTACAAAGGCACAATCCAGAGAAGCCCGATCCCAATCCGCGGCTTCCTGCGCCAGTCCGTTTTAATAGCCTTGCACTAGGACATACCGAATAAACTGCAGTTTAGTTCCACGCGGCACGTCTCGTTCGCTGTCTTTTCTATCACTGCCTGTAGCCGAAACGAAGGTGGGAGATCAGTCACCTTCCTGCTGCGTCAGTCTTAAACGGCAAGTCCTTCTGCGATTCTTTGAGTATAGCAGTCTCCCCTCCAGCTGAAATGCATCGCGATACCGTAACTTGAGCGCAAGATCTCTAGATTCGTGTAACCTGTAGTCTCATGCTTACCACCCAAAATTCGACCCAGATCCGTTTCTTTGCT